TCTCTTGCTCTTTATTCATTTTACTATGCATCCTTCGAGGGTCGTGCCCGCGTCCGAGAGGATACGTGGTCTGTGATCCGGTATGGGGATAGGCAAAATTTATTTACTGAGGATATGGAATGACAACAAAAATTATTTATACCAACGACTACGACTGTGTCCGCGATAAGAGACTTGGTTAACTTTTAGGGATCCCGGTGAATATCTTCGGGGTCCCTAGGAAAGATCGCCCCCGCATAACACAGCAGTCGCCATTCGCTGTTCGCATCGCCACCGTCACCGCAACCGGCAGCCAATTAAATAAATATTCGTTGACATCACGGCCGCGTCGCTCCTACAAACTGGCCCCTGCCGCGTCGTTCCAAAGGGAAGAGAGAGAGAGAGAGAGAGAAGAGTAGCGAGTGAACTCAACTCACGAGGGGTGCTCATTCGCCACGTTTCAGAAGGCTGCGTAAGCCGGGCCTGGTCCTTTCTTCGAGGACGTTTTCACGCTCCCCTGGAAAAAAAAGCTGGCCCTCCGGTGTGACCGAGGAAACGAATGGCGGTGAACGGAGGCAAGAAGGAACGCGGAGGATCGGAGACAGAAGGTGTCGGGAGACGTTCCTCGGAGAAGACGAGACCCGAAGGATACCGAGATGTATCGCTCGGCCGGCTGTTAATAAGACGAGACAATGCCCGAGAGAGTGATAGAGAGGGCAGGAGAGAGAGGACGAAGGAATCGAATGTATTCGTGCATTCGTGGACTCGGCGTATACTGGTGGATTAGGTGGGAACGTGCGTATGAGTAAAAGAGGCAGAAGGCGCGTCCACGTAGGATCGAAGGAGCGTGTATGGGAAGACACGGACGTTCATATGTTTATTAGCCGGACCCGGCATAAATAACGCGGCCATAAGGCCATAAGAAGGAGAGAAGAAGAACGAGGGCTGAAGGAGACTCAAAAGGGACTGGATGGGGTTTCGGTGGGGAACCGATGGGGGCTAGAAGGGGACTAGTGTATAAGGGGGGGGCGGAAGGGCGAAAGGGGTTTCGTTTGGAGATCGCCCGAGTAAATTGTCACACGGTCTCTCCCGGTTCCGAAGGAACAGGGAATCCGGGCTGGAGGAGCCCGAAGAAACCGTGGAGGAGGAGGAGGAGGTGGAGACAACGAGAGAAAGAGAGACGTGAGGCAAACGAGGAGGGCCGAGAGACGTTCGAAGGAGAGGACCGGATGCTGGAGGATGCGTGGTTGCAGCCAAAGGAGAAAGATCCTATCCCAAGGTAGCCTATACCAGAACCGACCACGAGACCACGCTCTTTTTTTACCCAAAGACCAAGAAGCTGGTGCTGGTGCCGATGCTGGTACTGTTGCTGCTGCTGCTGGTAGGAGTACCAGGTAGTGGGAGGGAGTCCAAGGGAAAGGAGGGAGGAAGACGAACCGAGAGAACTGGACCCACCTAATTTACCTCCCAGATAATGCGGCATAATTAAAGCAAAATGTAACGTCGCTGGCAATTAAAACAAATTTATGCGACCAAGATCCGCGATCGGCCGACCCGAAGCACCGTGCAACCTCCTCGTCGTCTTGCCTCTTCTGCGCCTCTACGAAAGTGCATTATTTTATTCTTCTTCTTATTACCGCCGAATGCGCGCCACGAAATTCATCGCGGGAACCCCGCTGGACCCTTTTCTCCCATCCACCAAGCAAAACCAATCAGAATCTTCGAGCCCTTTATTCTCCGGTCCCACGTTCACGTAGGCTCTTGCCCGATGCTTAAACTTTTCACCTGATTCCCTACTCTGCCTACTGACGCCTTCGCTCTCCCTCTCTCCCTCTCTTAAGACAATGACAACGAGACGACCAGAGTGACAGTCAAGACGCGTCGAGGCACTCGTAGGCACCAGGTGCCTACGTTCAGGAACGCGAGCGTGACGAGTCTCGAATTATCGAACAGCCCGGTATACCAAGTAACTTCAGTAGCTGAAAAGTACTACGTATTCAAGTATCAGATATTCCGGAGAGAAAAAAAGGAAAAACTTGGTAAAACGTTAGCGAATCCTACGCCGTACGTGAATTCAAGTCCCGTCATTCGCTTCGACGAAATCAGTGAAATGAGCCAAGAGAAGAATGCAGAGACCATAGAGAGCACCGTATTCCGTTGCGCCCCTAGTCCGACTCTACGTGGACTTTTATCTCATTCCAAGTGCCGTCATCTGTCCCTCCGTCTCTTTCTCTCTCTCTCCGAGTCCCTCGTCTCCCCCCCTTCCCACCATCCCTATGTCTGGTGATGGTGAGCAGGGCCACTTACTTATAATCGTCTTGTCAACGATGTTTTGCAGGATATGACGATCTTGGTCGGCCTGGTTCCACCAGTCTCCCCATATACGTAGGTGGAAACCACCATATACATGAATACAGGTGTAAAGCTGTATATAGAAGAGTGCCGAGCGGCTGGAAGCACTGGCCAAGGGGCTGAGGAGCTTCGAAGTCGCGGCGACGAGGGGTCAGGGAAGGATTCGATGCGAAGATACATCTCGCATTCTGACGAGATCAAAAGCCTACAAGCCAGTCAACAAATACGGCTCGCGAACGACGCGACTCATAAACCAACGTCACTCGCTCCTCCGCGATTCCACCTACTTCCCCTTCTTTCACTCCCTTCCGTCCCGGCCTCCCTTACACCACCAAGCCCTAACCTCCCTTCTCCAGGACGTAACGGCCTTGCTCGGTCTACAAGATCCTTCGATGTCGACCCATGCTCCTCTAGTAATCCCAATCCGATTGATTTCTTCAGATTTTTTCTTGGATTCGTTACGATCAAAAATAATATCAATTCGTATAGGCCAATCAACTCCACAATTCGTATTAGAATTATCTTGATCGGGTTAGCGCGGTTTGCGATTTTGTCTTGAAGAATTTGACACTATAGGTTATCAACAACTTATCCGAAGAGTACAGCTAACCTCATCCTAGTACCAGTACTTAGCAGTGATTCTCCGACTAGGTCGATTGCTGGTCGTTTGGCAAGTAATTCGGCGGTAGGAAACAGTGGAGACGCAGAGTGCAGGCAGCAAAGTCGACCCGCCTGAAATATCGGAATGGCCCGAGATAAATCGACGTCGAATCAGATTTTATTGCAAGGGGGAATATCCTGAGTGGAGCCGAAGAAAGGTGATAGGAAACAGGTCCGGTCTCGCCTCGAGCGAGCCACAACTATTTCGTGTTTTTCTTCGGGGGTCCAACGCGCCGCTATCGCTTCGCCATCTGCCTGACAAACCCCGTCCACCCTATCCACTACATTCACCTTCTTCACCTTCTTCAGCAACTCGACCGTCACCAATGTCCAACTCATGAATACGTCATATCCATTCTTCTTGCTATACCTAACTTATACCTGACTTCAGGCCATTTAACCCAGTGTACTCTGACGAGGTTGACCTTGCTAACTTATCCTCCAGCAAATACACTTGGTCAAGCGTATATCGTGGGGTCACGCAACTAGACGTCTAATTTACCTGGTTTGATTAACATTTGGAGTATGTTCGATAAGATGATTGAATTACTTTTCGTTTGTCCACGTAAGACAGGCTCATAAATTTACGTGCTAAATTACTGTGAAAAGTCACATGTAGTCCGGGATGCCGTATACCAGTAGCTATTGCTTTTCAACGCGGTCCTTTCATGTTTCTTAAAGTAGCAAGGTCGCTGGCTTTGGGATAGCACGGGCAGAATGAATTGACGATTCATGTAGAACGTCACTGTGCAAACGCGAGAGTCTATCCGGCGACTGTAGTAAAAGACAGAAATGTCGGGTCCAAGTGAAAAGAAGATTTGCGAGGGAGTGCTAATATTAGCCGGTGCAGGTGCAAATCGTGGCGCCGGCGCCTTCCTCCGAGACCAGCCAACCAATCCAGTACCCGATCTAAAGCATCCTTTTCTGGGGCTCTACTGTTTCTACCTGTCCAAGGGGAAGAGGGCTCGGACCGTTGTAACTCTTGCGCAAAATTACGAGACGACCGGAACGATAAAGTTTCGAGGATTCATGGACCTGCCTATATTTTCAATTTACTGGACTCTTAACGATTCCCAAAACCAACCTTTTGACTTACTTCATCCTGCAGTGCCTGTGTATAAATCTTAGCATCCTGACATCTGACAATGGCAAATACAATGAAGACGGTGGACTCTCGAGGCGGTCACTGTACGTCCAAGATTCTGATTACGGACGACGATCTCATCAACCTCTTCGATCTCATCAACTACTTCTGTCCAGGGTTGCCTACTATTGCGTGCGCAGAGTTCATCAGGCTTGTTTACCATCGGCGCGCATGCAGTAAAGGACAGTAAAGAATCTATGGCGATCCTTATGGTGACGCTCGGACGATCAGTGCTGCTCGTACATCTCTACGTGTTAAGCCCGCGATCGTGCAAGGCATCCGATTACCAAGATCCAGGAAGGATCTATACGCGACGTTGGTCGCGACGCCACATCGGTAATCCAGTGACAACGTTACCTGGTAACATGAGGTTAGGTGCGTAGAGGAGTAACACGGGTCACTCGGGGAAAGCCTGATGCGAATCTCATTGACAACATAGAGAATCAAGAAAATCAATTGACCCAGGTAAACCCTGCGTCTGCTTCGTATAGAAATAAAAGCGAGCCGAATATAATACTTGAAGATCAACATTCATAAAGCATATAAGGATATAAGAGAATTATTAATGATATTCTAAGAAGGTATGCCAGCTCAGAGAAATTGGTTCGTCGAGGGTGGTATTGGGAAGTGGCGGAAGTGGTGGTTTCGAGGTCGTAGCGAAGAAGAGATTTCAGAAGAAGAGGAGAAAGGTGTGGCTCTACGGGGAAAGATCGAAGTACGTGAGTAACCGGTGGTGGTAGTGACGCTGGTGGTAGTTCTCGGCGTCGAGGGTGTCAGGGTGTTGGGGGGTAGGTATGAGGTCTGCCGAGTGGGTAGAACGAGAGCGGCGAAGATACGAGCGCGAAAACGCGGAGAGCATATAGGTACATAAAATCATAGAGGAGGCACGAGTGGCTTGGTATAATAATGCATAAGGAGGTGGAGCCAACGAAGCGAGAGGCCGCGCCCTCGTATCCGAGTTGCCGAGTGGGGGTAGTTCTCGTTCAGGAAGAGGGAGTAAGACTGCGAGACCTCGCTGCCCGCTAAAGGGTGCCGAGGGGTGCGCAGAGGACACTCGGCAGAGTGAGGGACACCGTAAGACTACGGTGGGGGCAGGCCCAGAGAGAGCGACCGACTCTAAGAGAGGGAGGACGCGCGGTCGCCGCTCGAGCTGGAGGTGGCCGTGTGCCGTGAGACAGAGAGAGAAGGAGCGACGCTCCGAGAACGAGAGAGACCGATCGGAGGAGGACGGCGAGGAGGAGGTCGACGAGAATTACGTTCCGCTCCTCTTGGAAGTCATTCAACGTGAGTCTCGTACGGCGGACAGAGAGTGTGTCCGTTAACTCCGCGCGATCGCGTCTACCTATTCAGAACATGAGACTCCTGGGGAATCCGCCACCTCGGGATCCCGACGTACAGTTTTTCCTGATAGTCGGTAAACAGTGACCCGGGACCAGAGTGACCTGGTAGACAGGGTAGATCAGCCGGGTGGTTCGAAAGTGGCGCATCGATAGGAAGGAAGGAGTGCGCGATTAATAAAGGCAGTCGGAGAGTACCTGAGCCAGGGGTTGGTAAGGGGAGGGAGGGGAGGGGAAGAAAGGAGAAGAGGAAGAAAGTGTCAGAGAGAGGAGAAGGAAAGGATAGAACGGAAGGAAGAGGGAAAGGAAGGAAGGAAGGAAAGTGTAAGTCAGTCTGTGGTGGTGGGGTGCTGGCTGTACTGTCGTGTGTGCACAAGGGTGGACCTTGCCGGTACGTTCGTGGCAGTGGGGATTCTAGGCATAGTCTCTCGGGGGGTGTGAAGGGCACGAGTACTCGTGGTGGCTGCTAGTGTAAGTGCTGGTGCTCCTGTGGTACTTGTGCTGGTGGTGGTGGTGGACGCCGAAGTGGTGGAAGTGCCGGAGTCGAAAGTGGTGGGATTTCTGGGGGGTGGAAGGTGGGGTTGAAAGAGAACGCGCGCAGAGGGAATCCCCTACCGGGTCGTCGAAACGGACGGTGGAGAGGGGCGTCGCGACGTCAGCCCAGAGCTGGTCCGTCCGTCGTCCGGCCGACTCGAGCATCGGAGCCGCGGACTCGCGAGATATTCATATATATATATATATATATATATATATTGATATATATATATATATATACACACTACTATACACACGCGCTCACTCGATCATTCCTTCCTTCCTTCCTTCCTTCCTGTTTGTCAGTTTGTCTGTCTGTCTGTCAACCCACCCACCCACTTGTCCGCTCGCCTCTCTGACAGTTTGGCATCCTTGTTCCTTCCTTTTTGAAGCGCTCCTTCTTTTACTTTCACACCCTACGCACCCTCGACACCCTCGACCCCCCGACACCTTGTACGCGCTGCTCGTCATTACAGTTTACGTGTATCCGTCGTCATCGTCTTCATCATCATCAACGCTACCACCTTCGTACTAAGTGGTGTGAAGCCCCGGTACGCGCTACACGCATGGCACGCGCAATCCCCAGGAACGACAGTCTGACACACGCGTTAGCCAGCGCGCCAACACGCGGGTACACGCGATCGTACGAAAGTACGTGCCGAGCACTTTCACCGATCGATCGAGGGATCGAGCGATCGACCGTGACGTCGGAGCCTCTACCATTGCAAATCGGACAACCCGAAGCCGTGAGCCGTGACTCGTGAGAGCCGATATCAGGAAGGAACCTAAGGACACGAGGCAGCCTATACGTCGTTGAACTTTACACGATTTTATTTTAAAGAAAATTACTAACTGCGGGGGTCTCCCTGTTTTAAATCTACGTGTTCGACCAGAAGGGTGGTAACGTGCAAACTGTGTGCCGATCGAGTAAAGGCAGTTACCGTGTTCTTTTTTACTTTTTATTTTCTTATTGTTACTCTACCCTGTCAAGGTACCTTGACAGGGAGTTTTCAGTCAGTGCACCCAGTGCCGCCGTCATCAGTATTAGTGCATCCAGGGAATTGCCATTGGCGCGAACGTTGCCGGAATTGTGTAGCGTTAGGTGGGCTCGTGTGAAGAAGAGGGTGACTTCCTGGAGGGACGCATGGAATTTTCGGGGAAGTGGATTTTACGAGGGGAGGTGCGTCTCCCGGATAGTGTTGATAGTGTGTCGCCAACGCGCGAGCTGTGATATAGCCGGCTTGTGCCGGATCAAACGAGAGGGACTCGTGAGAGGTTCACGAGGACGAGAAGGTCAAGGAGGACGAGGAGGTGGCGGAAGAGGAGGAAGAAGAAGAAGAAGAAGAGAAGAGGAAGAGGAAGGACGTACGAATGTCTCGACGTGAGGTGTCCAGTGTCGCGAGGTGGTGCGGTTCGTAGGCGCTCCTTTTGATCGCCGTGATTGAAGCGTGCATCTTCACCCGGAGGCCGATCCACGATCCCCCGATCGCCGACGGCCAGGAAGCGCCACCAGCACGGAGGATCACGTATCGAAGAGGCGAAGGCATGTCACGGAGGAAGCAGGCACGACCCAGCCGTGCTCATCTCGAGGAGGATCTTAACCAGGGACTTGGGCCCATCGATCCCCTAGGAACGTTAGAAGAAGATACCCGTAAGTCTTTCATTTTTATATATATACTATAATTAATAACTCTCGTGCCCTTTGACCCGTCGGATAGAACGATCTTCCCCATAGGCTAGCTTATCTGCTCTCGCGCAATATATTTATAGGAAGACTGTATAGGTATAGGTTTTTATGATGGGTAGCTAGAAACAGATATAGGCAGGTTGGTCGTATGTATCTAGCATGTATAATTAGTCTTCTACCAAATTAGTGTAAACAAGAAAATTGTTTTATATTTTACTTTGAAATAAGAAACACTTGGCTAAATAGTCAAGTTTATGCGGTGAGTCAGAAGCACGCCGTCGATAGAGAGAATATCTAACTGAATTTTCATGGCTGATAAGCGTTTCCACACCGGCGTGTTTCACCACGAAGGGAAGTTTGAGCTATGCTGGAGGAGCCGAAGGAGGCCTAACGTTTACGCAAATATTTGACAAATATTGACAAGGATCTACGAACGTGTAGGAAAGCTTATAGAGCGGGCAGCCAGACAGACAGGCGAGTAAGTAAGCAGGCAGGCAGGCTAGATATAACAACTATCTGCGGCTTCCACCATATTTCTCTCTCTCTCTCTCTCTCTCTCTCATTTTCTCCACGCATCTCCATCTCGAATAACACAAAAATCCAGTCAATATTTGACTGGAATTTTCGACCTTCTTGTCTCTCACATTAAAATCGAATGATATACTAATTTTCGAGCGATATCCTCCCAACTAACCCCCTCTCCCCCCCCGTTATTGTTTTTCTGATAATAATATTTATAATTGCTCATATAATAGTGTACATAAACAGATACAAGTGTACCAACAATAGTACATACTGCCAGTTATCAATTGCTTGGAAACGAACTAGGTGCATGATAAAACAGATAGGCGGATAAGCAGATTGTAATATATATATATATATATATTACAATCTGCTTATATATATATATATATATATATATATAGGAGGAGGTAGCTGAGGAGCAAGGGGACGTTTGGAATTCGTGAAAAAAAAAAGAGCGCGGAATAGCGGAGTTACCGGTTTAGTTGACAGGCAGCTTGTCGCGCGAGAATATTTTTGGTGAATCCGCGTGGCCACGATAAACGCGTGGGCGTCAGACACCGTGAGTGCGTCTCGTTCATTCGCGCCCTGGTTCGTACGATACACGCACCATTCAGTCCATTGTCAGGAAAGTTGTCAAGCTTTAAGCCTACACAGACATTCTCAAGGTAGAAGCTATACAGAGAGTCTATTTACATCTTACGATTGTGTCGTTCGGATTTCTTTTTTCATCGTCGATAATGATTCGCCACTTTGAAGCGAATATGCATTATTGAGTAATTGGTGGATAGAAATCGTGTGGCAAGGATGTTTCCAATAAATCTAAGACGAGACGATGAAGACTGAAACGAAGGTGAAGAAGTCGGCACTCTTTGATGCGGTAGCTGAAGAGGATGAGAGGAGTACGAGGAGTATGAGGTTACCTTATAACGTGTGGTAAACGTGGTTGATCTCTCTCTTGGCAAAAAAGAGCGCGAATATGAGCCGTCATAGGGGATCGCGCATTAAGCCGCCTTCGCGGGACCTTCCCTCCGCCTTCGGTAATTGGCGACCTTCTCTCTTCCGCGAAGGAATGTTCGCCCCGTGTTTTGCCCTTACGCGACAACACAGCGAGACAAGAGACAGGCCAAACGATTCAACGCAAAGAGATCCCGAAGCGAACCGCGCCACTTGTACCTCACTCTCCTCGCATCTCTCCTTCATTTCTCCTTCGCGCTTGTCTTGCTGTCTCGCAATTTTCAGTCTTTGAGAAAAACGCGATTCGAAGATTTGCGTGAACAATTATGAGAGTGATCTCGCGTAGTCTAGTGGGAAAATAATGAAACGTAACAAAAGACAATGGTGAGTGTGCATATAAAGGTGACGGAGTAGGATGATGAGAGGGACAGAGACACGACTGGTAGTGCTTGCGACTGAAGGAAGATGGGAGAGAGCAAGGAAGAAGGACGAAGGTAGCTTAGCGTTGAACGAAAAAAGAGGATACGATTCGTGGCGGTGTAAGAGAGAGAGAGAGAGAGAGAAAGGATCAAGACACGAAGCCACGAGGAACCGGGCCATATTTTAAAGAAACACTTATACCGGGTCCATGGTTCCACAGCCAGGACGTTTTTGCGTCCCGACGCCGTGCGTCGGCGCGGAAATGGAGATCCACCCGCGTTCGGCATTCTTGTGTTTTCGCATTTGATACGAACTTCTCTCTCTCTCTCTCTCTCTCTCTCTCTCTCTCTCTCTCTCTCTCTCTCTCTATCTCATTCTATACTATTTCTCACCGCATACTTCTGTCTCTCTTGTCTACACTGCATTCTCTCCTTGACTCTCGCGAACAAACGAACGTGCGCGCGGGCGCATGCGACCATCAATATCGCCGAGAGAAGCATCAACGTGAAATTGGCAACAAATTACTCTCCTTGTGTGCGCCTTCGCCGCTTCGGCCAATTAGCGGTTCGGTCGAACTCGCTCGCGGACCTTTACAAAAACTCACCAGTCCTTCATTGCGAGTACAGAGATCGGTATACGCGGCTGTAAGACAATTGCACTGTCTGACCGTTCGACCATCGTTCCAATGTCTAAGACATTGGTGACCAATAAGAGACTTGGAGAGTGACCGTTTGTTGATGAGGATGATGCTCCTTACGTCACTCCTCGTCAATTTTTATAGAAGATGCTCATTACTCATCTCAATGTACACTACTCGTCGATCGTGGAGTCAGTTTCCACTTTAATAATTAAAATGTCAAAAATCCCATTCCTCATGGTAAAATGAAACTTTTAGGTAGAATAAGCTATAATCGCGTAATAGACATTTTATCCAGCTTTCTTCATGGTCACTATACCCATGACAATGATCGGGACACCAATGACGAGGTCACCGTGGAAAACTGTGGTCCAGCACGAACGGACGAAAGCGAGCGTCGCCTATTGATCGGAAATCGATTTTGCAGGAACGATCGGAAGGTGTATCGCTCTGGTGATAAACACGTTGCTGTTACAGCGTCCCAAAGTATCGGCTGCTATTGCCGGTAGTATCTTGTGTTCAGTAGCGTCGTCGTATCGGTCGCCGCGCAGTAACGCTCGAACGGATCCCAACGACTCGACGCAATTGTCCCCAGAGGAAAAGGCTTCCTCGTCATTCCAGAGAAATCGTCTTCCAGGAGTCCGGGCTTCGTCTTCTCCTCTGTCCTCTTTATACGTATATCCTTAAAGCAAAAGAGAGGTCAAATACCAAGCACAGCACCTGTGCACGAAATCCCAAAGCAGGGACCAAAAATCTACCGGTTAACTAAGCGACGAACAACCACCATAATGTCGCGTGTAAGTGGATACGCCTGGGACTATGGGGACACGGAATCACGGACGTCTTTTCTCTCTCGGTTCTGTCGCTACTTCTCCTTCTCGCTCGCGCACGTTTCAACGCTCTCTTTATTCTCTCCTTCGAAAGCTCCTCGAACCCTGTCCATAGGTCGTTACTATACCTAATGACTGCTTCGATATATATATATATGCTTTCCTAAGGTTCTCCTCATCGCTCTATAATTTCTCTTAAGGAATCGTAGAATTTCAAGCGAATTACTCGGAAGGACAGGCAAACCAATTTCGTACATCGTTCACTGGCATGGGTGAAGGGCAGCAGCCCAATTGGATTCGAGCCAAACTGAGATACCTATTTTCAATGTCCGAGAGATGACTCTCTCTCTCTCTCCCTCTCTCTCTCTCTCCTCTCCTCCTACTCCATCTCAACCATCCTCACCCATTCCATCCTTTCGCATCTCGTCGTCTGACGATCGTACTATTAACACTCTCTTCGTTAGCTATGCCAAAGTATCACTCTCCCCTCTCGGTTACTCGCTCCACGCATATCTCGTCTTATTCGCGATGTCATCTCTCTAATCTCTCAAAAGCCGGTTTCGCGTGGCGCCACGTGAAATTAGAGGCTCGATGGAAGCTGCTTGGCAGGGAAAATGGTCAAATGATAATAACGAGAGTGAGATAAGTGTGTCTGTAGTGTAGAAAATTAACGTGTGTAAGGGTTATAAGGTGGATGCTGGTGTCGAGGGGTGTGGTGGGGTGCGACGGGGTGCGAAGCTGAAGGGGTCCCGAAGTGCGTATAAATTGGCCGCGTTGACTCGCGTGCGTAAAATGTGCGTCCAGGCGAGGACACATCAAAAGGCGTCGTTTAAGGGATGACGGGGGTGGGATGATATTATTCGCCCCGGCAAAAGGGTTATCAGACTAGGCAGCCTCGTATTTGCTTAATAACGCAGCCGAACCCGAGAGCTCGAAGCCCGCGGGGCTTATTGCCAACCGACGCCTTTCCATCTCACTGTCACCATCATCGACGTCGCCACCAACATCCACTATTGCCAAGTTACCTTTATCGTACTGAAGATGCTTAAGGGCTTACGCTATGCACACACGTAGGTAGTGCAGGGGTTGAAAACGGTGAAGGCAATAATATGGGACATACCCTGACTATATGAGGTTATAGGGTATATGTCTGGTATAATAATATGGTAGTCCTTTCAATAAAAATGTATTTACTATGGGAATATAGGTTGAAAAATATTTTTACGCACGGTCGCTCATGGGGGTCTACGGGAATATAGTATACACAGTTTGGGTCTGGGAGCTGAAATTGTCAAATAACGAGGATCGTGACAATGGCGCGCAAGGCACGTAACGGCCAGGGCTATGACAACAACGAGGACTACGACAACGCCCGGAGGCTGATCAGCGGCTAATGGGGGACTTGCTCCTCGCTCCCATCGATCGACTGGATGCCATATATCGCGAGTGTATTTTGTCATTGTGATGTCATCGTTCCCGCTGCCGTTTCCATTGCTTTATGTTGCGACGAGACCAGTTCGGAACTATGGCAGAGCGGTGCAGGAGAGTAGGAAATCGGGGCGGGTAGAACCGTTTTCCGGCTGACTTGGCTAAACGGG